TTTTTTTCTGGCCGCAGCGGGGAAATTCGGTGGCCGAAATAACGGCAGGGTGCTGGGGAGCCCTCGGGATTTGCCCCCCCCCCCCGCCCCCGGTTGGGCTCTCTGCGGTGGTTTCAGGCCGTTCTTTGAGTTATTAAAGCCCTGGGGTCGTTAAGGCCCCGGTCGTACAAAGACCCTACTCGTGAGCTTAACTTCCAGGGATAGTCCAAGAACTGGACTCCGAGGAACGTCAATGTTTGCGAGATCGGAATCGGTGTTGCGCGTTTGATAGCAGTACGTGGTTATCGCTGGTGGCTGGCTATATTTGGTCAATGGTTTGCTCAATTATATATGTCGTGATCTGTTTTTCCATGGCCTTCTGCTGGGAAGGCCAAATGTCTCCATCCACGCTTACGGTTTGTTAGGTCAGGTACCACTGGTAGCCTGATCTGACCATATGTGGTTTTTTTGTCTACCGATTAAAAGGAAAGTTCTGTGTCAAAATGTCTGAAATAGATCAAAACATAAGGGGGCAAACTAAATGCCTAGCTCAAGGAAATATCGGAAGAAGCCTTCTCGAGATTTGCAAGAATCCAGAAGTAAGAGTTTGGGCATTAATGCCAAGTTGAAATAAGAGTCCTCTGCATAAGTAGGATGTTTATATTAAAATTGCTGTTGTCTGCTTATTTCTGGAGCTTAATTATGTCCTCCGTAATTTTAAAAAGACGGTTTGAGTGCTCAGTTTATTAAGTACTGTGGAGCATGCTGAACCGTGAAGTAGGCCATGAGTATGTATTTCAGTGGGGCATCACGGTTAAATGGTGGTCAGCAGAGAGCGTGTGTCATCTCTGCCTCACGCTGGAAGGATACCCACAAGAAAGGGCTCTCCTGAAATGCTTTGGTATCTCCCATTTCTAATTGGTACATACATGTCTTGTGCGAAGCAGCAATTTTGTGATCAAACTGGAAAGAGTTTGAGAAAGCCGTAATTTGATGGGGTGGAAAGAATGAGAGAAAAATATAGTTGGACCTATACTTGACAATATTGTGAGGAAGAATTGAAGGTAGCAGCCATAACTGTAGTTCTTGGTAATAGTTTGCCATTAGTTTTCTGCTAGCTTGTGAAAACAAGATTACTTTGGTTTTAAACACGTGAAAAACACGCAATAAGCATAGCCAAAATGGGCAGATACACATATAAAAACCCGCTCTTTGAATGTACGACTCTCCTTTTAGTTAGTTTACTACAGGCAAGAGTTGGACAGCAAAAGACTGTCCAGGAGTAAAGGACACAGTTTTCTTTTTTTTGTTGTTGTTTTTGTTTTTTTTCATGACAATGCTTCCTTTCTCAACCTGAGATACCATTGATCTGCTTTCATCTGTACATGGAAACCTATAGCGGCTACAGGATTATGCTCCCAATGTATGTAGAGCTGCAGATCTGCCTGCAACTTTCACGGCCTACAGCCAACGGGATGTGTTATTATGGGGATTTAACAGTTTAATTTCTTTGTGTTTTAGTGTTAAAAATAGGTATGATGTGATTTGATACGATTGCTCGGTAAAATACCCTAACAGAATTCTAAAGCCGGGCAGAATAATGCAGGGTCTTCTCTTACTTTAAATCCTAGCGATAAAATTACTAATAAAACCTTCATTTCCATAGGCCTCCAGCTCCTGCAGCCAAGTCTGTGCTGGAAAGACAATTGCTGATTTGGGGGGATTGGGTAGGGAAGGTCCCTCCTGAGGAGCCAGCCACTGGTGGGGCTGGGATTCCGAGTTGTGTCGGAGGCAATTCCTGCATTTCTGCGGCACCTGGCACAAGGGGGTCTTCAGGCTGGTTTGGGGCTTCTGGCTGCTGTCGCAACAGCCTTCTAAGAACTGAAAGAATCGACTCAACCTGCGTTAAGGAAGTCTGTGTTATCAGCAGCTATAACTAAAGGGCAATACGGTTTTGTTTTGTTTGGGTTTTTGAGCCAAAATTGAGAATTATTTTCCTGTATTCCAGGTTGGTGGTTTCCCAGACTCTAGGTCAGAGAGATTGTTTTGAATTAGTAAGGAGCCTACCATGGCAAAATGTAGGCTGTGCTAGACATAAAGATGCTTGCTGTTCAGGCCAGACTTATATTTGTCTTGAACAGTCTTTCCTTGGAGTTTGCTTTCTAACCTTTCTTTGTAGATGAATGTGTTAGTTTCTATTTAGACTAGGTAGGCGGATGTTTGAAGAGAATCTTTATGATGCAATACTTTCAATAATTTAACTTCTCTTTGCTTGCAGTCCTTTCATTCTTCTTTGGCTCTGAAGGAATCAGTCTTTCTCCTTGTGAAAAAGCACTGAAGATCTTGGCATAAGTAACAGTCCACTCAAAAATGGAATGCCTTGGTTTTCAGCTGGGTTATTTAATTTGGTTTGTCAGTAGATTTTATTTTTTTAAGCCCCTCCCCCCCTCCCCCCCCCCACTGTTACTCGTGGGGATTCCTTGTATGTGGAAGATCAGTAACTTGAATACAGTCCATAACTACAAAATTAGTTTCTGAAGCAGCAGCAGTGAGTGCTTATTGTGGATGTTCCTTCTGGAAAGCAGTAGACCAGGTGGGTGGCCCCTCGTGCCCATCTGGAGCCCCACTAATGTCAGTGTGTCTTTCTATGGGCTTAAGAGACCACATGCACGAAGCAGCTTGCAGGAGAAGAGTCTCATCTGTTAATGGCTCGGGACACAAATTTTGAAAGTGGCTGAGCTTCCTTTCAAAAAATAATGTTAAAACTTTTGGGAAGTGGGGAGTTCGGTTTCTTCTTTTGGGCTTCTTCAGTTGTTTGGGAGCTTGGTTTTGTTTCTTTTGCTGGGTTTTTTTAAGGACCCTGCCTTGGTTTCTGTTTTGTCCCTGTGGAAGTGGGTGTCAAAGTTACCATTAATTTCAACAGTAAAGAGATACAAGATACATTTTTGAATGCTCTTATGTCATTAGGGACCTGCTTATTCTTTTTAAGAGTTATTTGAATGTTTGAGGCCACAGGCTTTCACTGGCTATTCTTTGTAATTGTTTTTGGAACTATTAGGTGGAATAATACTGCTCGATCGGTTTGAAATAGGCCTGCGCAGGAACCAAAGGCTGTATTAGGAATAAAATGTTGGAAGAGCATTGGAGACAGAAAACAATTAAAGCATCCTGAAAGCTATGTAGCTAGAGTTAAACCAAGTGGGATGCTAATAAAAAGAAGCAGTTAAGAAATTAAGAAGTGCTGACTCCTTTCCTCTCTTCAAATTCCAAGTTCTTTATTATAGCGATACCTATTTTTGTGATGAATCGTCTAGAAAGGAGTTCAGGCTTTGCACTATTTTTAAATCGAGGTAAAATTTGTCAAAACCACTTAGACTGCAATGTTATGAAGTGTATGAGTACATATGCATACGTGTTTAGCTACATACACAGGTGCACATGTGTGTATACAAACAAGTATATGGAAGAAGTGTGAAAAATAGATACCTTAACACAGCACTTAAAATTAAAGCGACTGCATGGCTCCAAAGATCTGTATTTCGAGCCTTTTACATCTAAGTTGTTGTTTTGATCTGGCACATGGCAGCAGGAATCAGTCATTACCGTGAGATGGCTATTCATAGACCTTTGTGAAATGAGTTGATCATCTCAGTTTATCTGCAGCTTGACAGGTGTTCCCATCACAAAAATCTCCACTACCTCCTGTCCTTCCCATGGGAATGACTAAGGAACAAATCGTGGAGAGTGGCTTTGAGTGTTGGTTCCTTGGGTTGGAGCTGAGGAACATTGTAGAGGGCAATAGGGAGGGCTGGAGATGCCCAAGATACAGTTGCCACTTTGTAGTTTGTTTGGGGTTTGTTTTCGTGTTTTGGGGTTTTTGTTTTTGTTTTTTAAATCCTCTGTTTCAGTAGCTTTAAATTTACTTAAAAAATGAAATGGTAAAATGTCTGGAAATTCTTTTTGAGGTTTTTGATAACTTTCTTTTATCAAAGAAAGAATAAAGGATTTCATTTATTACTCTGGTTAAATTCTTCAGTGTGCTGTTTTTATTTATTTATATCTTCTACAGGAAATATTTTAAAATAAAGTAAGCAAGCAGTATTTTAAAAATTCTTGTCACAATATCTGGTAACTAAGACCTGTAGAAGCAAGATGTGAATTACATGATTCCTATATAAGATAAAATTGAAGCC